AAGTGATTTCCCATTTATTATACCATTTAAATCTCTCGACAATATGCGGAAGTGTATGTTACCCGTTTTACAAAGAATCTGAGGCCACTGACAAGGTACAGAGATTTTTCTAAGATGACACAGTAAAACTTTAAGATGACACAGCAAATCTTTTCTAAGATGGCACAGCAAATGGCTGTGAACTGCAGTCCCCGCTCTGACTCGCTGGAGTGGTCTCTGGGCCATATCCCAGCTGTGTAACACGTAGCCCCACCCGTTTCCTACTGGTATTATCATTCAAGCTCATTGGTTCTTCAGTACATGTGCTCAAGCAAATAGGGGCTTATGTCCCCACCACACACCCCAAAAGGAAAGTCGGGGAGAATCACTGGTATAAAGGTTAAGTATCTATATTTTCCCGAATTTTCAGTTGGTTAACTGTACTTGGGGCTGAGTATTCAAATATGATATGACTGAGACCATTACCAAATATCCCACCCCTCCCGGTGGAAGGGTCGGGGATGGCGTATGCATGCTCATGGATGGGTGAGAGAGAGAGAGAGAAAGAGAGTGTGAGAGCAGTGGGGAAGGGGTTCAAGTCCATAGCCAGTGACTACCTGGCCAGTCTCAATGAACCAAAGAAGGAAAATAAGATCCCTACAAACCAAGAGATGAGGAGGTAATTTCAGACAACCAGGCTTTCAGATACACCAGACCAGGACACCAACACAGTGAGACAAAGCGCTGGTGGAAAAAGATGGGAGGTCCAGCAGGGGGTATGCATATGGCAGGGAGGCACTGACTGATGAACACGGAGGAAATTTTCCAGATGCTGAGTCTGGGCCCTGGAATCCGTTTTATGAGCAGACTCCTGGCAGTTCTCAGCTGGGAGGAGGACCTTGCAGAGGCAGGCCCAGGACGCTGACTCCTCCGTATCTTGGTTCCTCTCCTTGTGCAATGATTGTCGGTCCTTTGTGTTTCGGAGTCTGGAGCTGGGAATCAGCATACCTGGGTTCTAGACTGAGCCCCAGCACTGACAATCTATGTGACTTCAGAAAGCTCATCTACTCCTAGTTTTTCCATAAAAATGAGAAGTATTCACCAGCAGTACCCAACTCACAGAATGGCATTGGGGCAATATTAAATTATGCAAGTCAAAGAAGCATTCTACCCTCAGAAGTATGTCTGTACTCTGGCCTTGGTTATAATGTGGCCCAACTCAAACCAGATGAGCTTACACAATTCTCTAGGAAAATAATGATAGTATTAACCCTTACATAGCACTTACTATGTTACTAGAACCTAACATGTCTGAGGTACTCAGAATAATCCTCAAAACAACCTACGGGATGGGTACTACCATTGTCCGCATTTTCAAAGGAACCCAAAATGTAGAGATGTTAAGTGACTTGCCCAAGATCATGCAGAAAAGTGGCAGGTTTGGGGTAGAAGCTCAGGAAGTCTGCCTTCAGAGCCTGTTGTTCTTAACCACTATGTGATAGTCCCTCTTGCTAAAGGAATAAAGAAGCCAATGACCCGAGTTTCCAGGGTCTAGTAACCTACAGCATTAGTATAGGCACACTTAACTGTGAGTCAAGCCAAAGTGGAAAAATCTAGATTTTACATAGCAGGTGGGGTGAATAACCATTCTCACATATGCCAAAAAACAAACCAAAAAATAAATCAATAAATAAAGCAAAATTCACAAAATAAATCAAGATAAAATCTCATTTGGCAGCAAGCTTCGTAATATGTTTAAAGATTCGATTTACACAAAAGAGCTAATACATTTTCAGGAGGTCAATAGTTACTTGTTTCTAGGGCTCCCTTTATCACAAATATGAAGTAAAATCTTAAGGAGACAAGAGGCCAATGCCAAGGTCCCCTGGATAAAGAGATGTTTACAGAAATGAATTATGCCTCTGCAAACGCACACCCTGTGCAGTCCCCTCCCACATTTGTTCTACAGTTGTTATGTGACTTGCTTTGGTCATGGGATATTAACATACATTGTATAAGGTGAACTTGAAAACTACTTGTACAATGGGGCTTGTGCTGTTAGAATACTCCTCCCATGTGAAGTGCCTTATGCTAGCCTGTTTGAGACACGTAGTTTAGCCAACACCCAGCACTAACTTCCAGACATACGAATGAGGCCATCTTACACCATCTAGCCCAAGCTGAGCCTGCAGGGAGATGTGGCTGCATGAGTGGTCCAGGGTAGGACCAGCAAAAGAACCATCCTGCTGAGCCCTGGCCAAACATCTGATCCAAAGAATTGTAAATAGTTGCTGTTTTAAGCCACTAAGTCTTGGGGTGGATTATTATGCGGCAAAAGCTAATGTAAAGAGCCCACATCTAAGGCATTTCATGGGGTAGTAATAACAATATGGAACCTAGAAATTGTTGGAAAGCCTGCAACATTCTCACAGGTAGAAGAGTCAGTTGGCTGAAAAAGTGGAGTCAGGAGTATGGGTTGAGAAGATGGCATGTGTTGCCTGGTGTTACCTACCTTTCTCTGTGACTTCTGAGTCAAGCAGATGCCGAAGTCGATCTTCATAATCACATTAGTAGACCAAAGGAGAAAAAAGGAAAGAAGTCTATTCAGAGTATTCACTGGTAAGAAAACGTGTACAACAGCCTGGTGATATCACCTTTCAGGTTTACAGCCACAGTGTCTTTCGCTTCAGTTCCTCCTAGGCCATTACCATTACTCCCTTAACATTACTGCTACAGATTGGAGAAGCAGATGCACAGAACAGGGAAAGGACTCAACCAAAGACAAAGAAAACCTCTCAACACTCCAAAGCCAAGAGGCCTGCCTATCTCCAGTGACAGCAATATTGGGAATAAAACTATCATTCAGTCCATTGTATTTCTTTAAAAATGAGAAACAGAAGCTCACAGAAGATAACATGTCCAATGCCACACTGCTAAATATGATTAACCTAGCCATGAACCAAAGTCCGTGGACTCTAATATTCTACAGAGACCTGGGACATAGGACATAGGCAAACATATCATCTAAATTCTAGTCTAAAAATCCTTCTGTCCTTGATTGATTTGAGAATATTGGCCAGCTGATCATCTAAGACAGCCTAGAAAGCCATAAGACACATTGACTACAATAATTTTTCAAACAGTGATTGGGAAACTTGGTTGACTAATGGATAGAAGAGGGGAAAATCCACCAAAATTTCATTGTGATAAAGACTGTGAATTTACTTGTAGGCTTTCCCCTTTTACTTCTATCAAAGTGCCAATTAATAGTGACCACAGGAGCATATTTATAATACTATGGTCTGAACGTTTATGTCTCCCCTCAAATTCCTGTGTTGAAATTCTAATCCCCAAAGCGATGGTATGTGGAGATGAGGCCTTTAGGAGGTAATTAGGTTATGAGGGTAGATCCCTCCGATGAGATTATTGCCCCTATAAGAAGAGACTTGAAAGAGCTTGCTTTCTCTCTCTGGTACATGATGATACAGTGAGAAAGTATCTTCACCGAGAACCCAACCATGCTGGAATTCTGATCTCAAACCTCCAGCCTCCAGACTGTGAGAAATAAATGTTTGTTGTTTAACCCACCTCATGGATGGTATTGTGCCACACCAGCAAGAGCTGACCAAGACAATATCTTAGAGGACAAAGAAAACATTAACTTTTGGCTCAAAGTATAAACAGTAGCCAATAAATAGTTCTGCAAATCCCTCTCAAATCCTAGCATATGAATATGTGCTAAACCTTATATGTATATGTGATTTTATTTTATACTCTAGAGGAAAATGCCCTGGTTCCTTTTCTATTTCCAACTTATTGTATGAATGTGAACAAGTGATTTAACCACTCCGGGTCTCAGACATTCCATCAACAAAACAAAGCCACTGGACTACCGACTCTGAAGCAACACAGTAGAATGCGGACATTGGACTTTGGACACTACACAGTTGACGGTGAATCATCCGGGACCTAGCATCTTGTTAATGTCTGGCCGTCTGCCTACACCTCACCTCTTTCCAAGTCCAGATAAATGGAAAAGACACACCGTTCTCACAGGGCTTGGTAGGAATGAATAACAACACACGTAAAGAACCCAGCACCATGCCTCATTCCTGGGAGTGCTCAATAAAAAACAGCTAATGATAATGATGCATTCATCCCACAAATATTTATTGAGCTAGCACTTGGTGCCAGGCACTATCCTTTGTGTGAAGGACAGAGGAGTTAACCAAACTGAGGAAACTCCCTATCCCATCTAGCTGGCATTCTAGTGCCTGGTAATCCACTACACTAACAGTGCAGGAGCTACAGGCCTTAGGTGCAGCCAGGGTTCCTTGATTCTATCCCCACTACTGAATCCGGAGCAGTCAATCCCTGGAAACCTCACCCTAGGTTAGGTTAGGTTCTTGCCTCCGTAGGGGAGGCCATACACTGTCATGGGTCCTCTAGGCCTCTCTCTTCACCAGCCCAGCATGGCATCCACCAGTGAGGGCATAGCCAGGCCTGGGCTTCACACGTCTCTGCCACCTTAGCTCCTTTCCCTCGCCAGAAATGTTCCCCAAGCCTGCAGGAGGAGAGCCTTCCAGAAACCTGGGAGGAGACAGAGCTTGCTTGGCGGCATTACCGGGGACTTCCCACCAGAGGTCGCCCTCTCACACAAGCCCAAGCAAACAGACCTGGCTTCACCGCCTCTGCAGCGGTGACATTATTTTCTTTCTCTATTTTTATCTATTAAAAAGATTTCTTCACAGCCATAACTTAGATCTCTACACTGAAATGGAGCAACAGGAAGATATAATGGTGCGTTTCATTTATGAATGACCTATAATAAATTACTCTGAAGTGTCCCGAGTGCCAGAAGACAGAACGCTTTGTCTGCCCAGGGACTGTATTTCACATACTTTAATTTAGCTGACACATAAAACTCATTTGACATTTTGCAGGTATTTGTGCAGGGCGGGGTGGGGGGACGACTGTGCGGCTGGGTGGGGAGTGGGGGCCGCAGGCAGGGGAAAGGATATTCGGTTCTTGTTGAGGGTTAAGGTATGCAGGCTGGGTAACCCTGGCAACACGAGGTCGTCCCCCAGCTGATTGTTGTCCAAGATGAGTTCCTCCAGGCTCCTGAATGCGCTCAGTCCTTCCAGTGACCTGCAATGACAAAGGCAACAGGAAAAATGATCCTGCACTAAATCAGGGAGGCCATTATGAACCGAAATAAATATTTTAACCTTCCCTTTCAGGACTGGGAATAGTTTGGGCTTGGTGCCTGTCAGCAAAGTGAATGACAAGAATTAGTAGCAGGAGTCAGGGCGGGGGCGGCGGGGAGAAGGGGGCGCTAGCACCCACCGCATCCTTCACGCATTGCCAACATGAAGGATGAGGGTCACTTAGTGAGTAGCCAGGATCCAAAACAAAGGGCTTCAGATACGGCCTGCAGGATAAATTTGTCAATGTCTTGTGCCTTCAGGCACCCAGCCTCGGCTGACCCTAACCTCCATTCCCAAGATAAATAACTCTGTCACAGTTCACCTTCATTCCCTGGACACAAATTCAAGTTGTCATCCATCATTCCTGCCCAGAAATATCATACCCTCTTACAATAATAAATATAACTTCAAGTATCATTTCTTAGCGGTTCTCCTCTGTACAGTCGTGGGGGAAACGGCACGGAAGGCTCCCTTTCTCTCCGTTCACATCCTTTGACTTTTTTTTTTCTTTGCCTTTTTTCTTTACTAATCACTTAATTTGCTTCTGCCCAGCATCTCGGTGGCTGCCCAAAAGGCAAGACATCTGTGGAATTACATAATCACTCTGGCCTGAGAGGGCTTTTTCTTTTATTATTTCTTTTTATTTGTTTTTGCTGCGGGTGGGGAAACAGGAGTTGTGGGGAATAGCTGCTTCAAAGCTCCTGGCTTGAAGTTACTGTTTTAATTTATGGAAAGTGGATTTCTCACTTAATTTTTGAAAGAAGTGTAGAGTGCAACCCTGTAGATGTTGAGACAGTAAATAAAAAGGTAACTGAAAGAATTAAGTACCTGATTCCAGGAAAAAAAAAAAATAGCAGAAAGGGAAAAATAGCCTTGCTTATACACATCGCTGAAAGTTAACTCTTAATTTTATGGGCTCTCATGAGTGTTGGGGGTGGAGGTGACACTGGGCAGTTTTGCACAAGTGCTTGCTGTGCGTACACAGACATTAATTAAAGCAGGCTGGCCAGCGGAGGGGCTTACATGGAGACACAGACTCCCGGCTGGTTCACCTGCCAGACCCGAGAGATATGCTGAGCCTGCGCAGGCTGACAGCTGAGCTACAATGTGGACTGGAGGGAGCCTCGTATGGGATGCCTGGCTAGTCTATAAAATGTGACGAATCAGGGAGATGCCGTCCACACTATTTATTCATTTACTGATACAGCTTCCATTAGAGCCCCGTGTGCTTCGTGTGCAACGTCCGCACATCTGCTGTGAGTGTGAACTTCAGCACCAGAGCTTTCCCAAGGTATCCACTGCTCCCTTGTGGGATCTCTGCCAAGAGGACTCCGAAATGCGGAGTCAATACTTGCAAGGTGTAAAACGTGTTGTAAGTAATTAAATCTGTAGATTCCACTGGGCCCAGAGCTCTGCCTGCACGTTCCATTCCTGTCAGACCTCAGGGTGGTCCCACCCAGGACTCGCCGAGCAGAACACGCCTGCTCCTCCAACCAACACTACCAGCCCCGCCACCCGAGGACACATTTTGGAGTAGGGGTCCGGAGATCACCGGGTTTCATTTCCTCCTCCTTTCTCTTTTTCCTCATGTTCCTAGAGGCAAAACACAACTTATGAGGATAATTGCTTGAAGGACTAGATATCCATCGATCCTGAGGTGATGATTACACATTGCATGCCTGTATCAAAATGTCTCATGTGACCCATAAATATATACACCTGCTATGTACCCACAAAAAACAAAAACAACAAAATAAAATAAAAACCCACAACTTACACACATCTAGGCAGGAAGGTTTGGGACTTTCCCTCTGCTCCTCCATTTCCTGTTGTGTGAATATAGGCGTGTCAATAGCCCATCTCAACTCTCCTGTTCTGTGTTCCTTCCAGCTCACAGGATCTTGTAGAGAATAAGTGAAGGACCACTAACTAGTTACTAGCATGTTTGTTTTTTCTGTTCCTTCCTCCTTTTATTCACTGTTTTTGTTTTGTTTTGTTTTGTTTTCCCTGAAGTCCTGACCCTGCGGATGTGTCTGGAACGCAGGGGACGGGCCATGAACAAACCCACGGAGGAGGCATACAGCAAGTCAGGCTTCTGCCGGGAACTTCTGGGCTCCTCTGAAGTCCCTTCCTCCACTAGGAGTTAGTGAGCGATGTGCCAAAAGGATTTTCAGAACTGTGCCCCTTTACCTCAAGGAGGGGTGAAGCCACTTCCCCTTAGGGAGCTTTAGGGTGGCGAATAAGTCCTTTGTGCACAAACATCAGCTGGGCTCTGCTCAAATACACATTGCTCCTGAGTTATGTTATGCAAATATTAGACTCTTCTGATGAGAATCAGCAAATGGTTGGCGACTGGCAAGCAGAAGACAGCTCCTTTCCAAGAGTGCTTCAGGGGGACATAAAGCAAAATGACACAGCATGAAGAGGGGGAGCGCTCAGGAGCACCAAGGCAATGTCCACCCCCACCCAGACAGCCTTTCTCCCCCTGCAGTGTGGGTTCTGGGGCAGAACTCCACACGAGAGTGAGACCTCCCAGAAGAGCTGGGAAGATCAGTCTCCAATCCCCTGTCACCTGTCTGGTTTTGAGACTCTTTCTGCCGTGTGACATTATTAGCTGCTCAGTAAAAAGAGAACCATATTACATGGGTGACTGCTAATGAATAAAGCCCTGTTTTCATGTTATCAGCGTGCTGTCCTCCTGGGGATTTAAGCAGCTAGATCCAGAGCTGAGGGCTGGGGCACCCGAGGCAGGGGACGGAGAGCATGGTGAATGGGGGTACTGGGGAGGACAGGTTTTGGGGGTATCAGCTGGCATGTGGACGACAACACATATACACCTGAAGGCAGGTGTTTTTACCTTTTACTTTACTTTTATCTTTTACTGTTATTTTTACTGCTATTTTCTAGGGAGGAATAGGAGAAAATATTTGTGTGTAGATCTAGTTAATTCCCCTAGATGCCAGATGCCTGCAAATACGTGCTGTTAAATAAAATGACAATTTGTCTGCTATCACCTTGTGTGTGGACAGCAAAATGCACCCCAAAACCAGATCCCCAGCGGAGAGGCCAACTGTCAGTCCAGCATCACTCGCCAGCTTCCTAGAGTACTGTGATGTCTGAGGTGTGGGCTGGGGGCTGATAGGAGAGGGCAAGGTTTCACCCAGGACCTGGGGGGCTGATAGGAGAGGGCAAGGTTTCACCCAGGACCTGGGGGGCTGATAGGAGAGGGCAAGGTTTCACCCAGGACCTAGGCACAGACAGCTGGAGGGAGATTGTCCAGGTCTGGATTGTTCTGGAAACCTAAGTAGTACCCGCCCTCCCCCACCACCCCCGGAGGGTGCCTGCCTCCCACACCACCAGCAGCAATGCAGCCAGGAACTCATGCACAGGTACCATCCTCTTACCTCCTTCCCTCACTCCCAGGGCTCTGCCTGGGCTCCCCCAGGAGCTGCAGCGGCTGCTGGGAGCATGCCAGTGCCTTTTCCAAAGTCACATCAAAATGACAAAACATCACAACGCATTGGGCTCCAGTGGATTCAAACTGAGAGAACTTTTAAGTTTCCACTGTAATTAACCCTATCCTCGTTAAGATAATTATGATCAAGCTTCCTGTCAGAGTTAATATCCCAGCATCATCGCCTGTGGCTCACACTCTGCCCTCATTAGCTTATGGAAACAGCAGCGCTGAACAGGCGTGCAGCCCTGCCCAGACCAGGCCAGTGGCTGGCAAGGAGGGGCCTCGGGTGGGGGGCCAGGGGCCCCACAGAAGGGCTGCCCATTAAGCCCCAGTCCCTTCTGCTCCTGGGTGGGCACAAATCAGTGAACTTCATCCTTTCCCAGCAAATGAGTCACTCAACAGAAGGGAGGGGAAAAGCCAGGGCCCAAGGCCCAGGTTGGGCTGGTCGGCTTGAGCAGGAGTTTCTGGTTTGTAGCCACTCTTCCCTGCCCCTTGCCCAGCCAAAAACCAGCTAGAATATTGTACATAAAAACCACCAGACGGCTGGGCGCAGTGGCTCAAGCCTGTAATCCCAGCACTTTGGGAGGCTGAGGCGGATGGATCACAAGGTCAAGAGATCGAGACCATCCTGGTCAACATGGTGAAACTCCGTCTTTACTAAAACTACAAAACATCAGCTGAGCATGGTGGCGCGTGCCTGTAATCCCAGCTACTCAGGAGGTTGAGGCAGGAGAATTGCCTGAACCCAGGAGGCAGAGGTTGCGGTGAGCCGAGATCGTGCCA